CTTATTTAATATACATACGTTGTAAAAAATACAGTAGCCTAAGTGATCTTACTTTAAATTTTAATATTAGAATGTATGACTAAACAAACTAACAAATTAATATCAAGATGTTAGGCCTAACAATCTAATGTTAGGCCGAATAAATCAATCCATTTTCGTCTCGAATTCAACACTATCACTAGCTTGAGTGTTTACACGTTTTCTTAATTTTTTTCGTTTCAAATTCACCACTATCACTAGCTTGAGTATTTATAACACTTGTTTCCTTAATTTTGAAGTTAAATTCACATACCATGTATATTACAGTGAAGTAAATATTACCGTAGCTATATGATCTTTCTTGGATTTTCATGAAAGTTTCATTAATCGTTCGAAATTTGACTAGAGAGTCACCTATAAATTATTTATATGTAAATATTGCGAAAATAAAATATATAAAAGCTATTTTGATAAAAGTTTGGAAAAAACGACCATTGCACTCCAGATAAATATAAAGGAGTGTAAAGGTAGTTTTTTCTAAACTGTTATCAAAATGTGTAAATCTCTCCAATATACAGTACAAATTTTGAAAGATAAAAGCTATGGTTTTTAACGCTGAAAGCTAGTGAATGTAACAAGATGTTACTTGCAGCCCCCTAAATCTCTTGTCGAACCCTTTCACTAGAAAAAGGCTAGTCAACAAAAGTATCTTTAAATTCTACAATTATGCTTACATACTAGAGGAACTTATAGCACAAGCTCTCCTCCTCATAATTACGGAGTCCATTGCACAGTCCCGATAGCATGGCGGCGATACAAATCTCGACCTCCAGGGAGGTAAACAGTCGGCAGTACATATACAGTGCGTAAAGTGGAGCGGAATGCATACAGGTAGAACAAAACAAGAGCAAAAAGAAAAAATAGTATACTGTTTTAAAGCACCCTTGCCACCATCTATTTGGTTTCTTGTGAAAACATATTTGTCCTTGGTATTTCTCTAAATTGCAGCGCGAGTATGTTTCGCATCGACTCAAACACAATTAAACACTATATGTGTTAACTAATTTACTTTTCTTAAATAAAAGTTCCCAAAAATTTACAGTGCTAACAGTAATGATAATCCTCTTTTGTCTATAAAAAGGAACCGCAATTGTATTCAAAATTAAACTTCAAACTAATAAGTCATAAACATTATTTACAAACACAAATTCACATAAGTAGGAGACTACATTAAATGGGAACTCAAAACAGATTAGCGTACGCCCACATTACTTTGTTTCGAAAACTTTGTATCAACATTCATGTGGCGAAAATTATTGTTTGATTTTTTTATTGGCATTCGTAAGATGAAGTAACTTATGTACACTGTATTTATAAACGTTCAATTACATGACATACATAAGCTTATTTGAGAATTATGCTTGTTACACGTTTTACACATAAAAAATTCCGTATATCAGGTGCATTTATTTCGTTGAATGAAGATGGCGGGACAGAGTACAAGTGTGTTCGCCACGCACATTTATTAAATATTGGGAGATTAGCAAAGGTATCCACATTTTTGGAGCAGCATTAAACGTTACTTTCGTTTATCACCAGTTTCACGTTGTAAAAAAAAATAAAAAAATGGCTGCTACTGACGTATCTATCAAGAATTGACTGGACTTACACAACGCCAGTCTGTTTTTTCTGGGTGTTGTGAACCAGAAAAACCATGCACGTTTAAATTAAACGTTGTTTCTTCTTAACTTTAATGTATGTAAGATTGTCCAAGTTGGCTAATCATCAACTTTGGTTATTGAAGCTTAACTCTTCAAAAATGGTAGTACAATTATGGTTTAGTTTCGTTACATACAGTAATAGCACCATGATTTCAGACTGTTTTATCTCGTTTTCAACGAGGATGAGACAACGAAATGATAGCATAAATCATTACAAAGTAATAACTTCTGGCATTATAATTTTCGTTGAAAGTGGATATCTGTACCAGACAGCTTTAGTTTTTAAATTCTAAAATACCATTTATTCTTGTTACCGCATTAACTACCAGAGCTTTAAAATAGATAGTTATTAACTTATTCTAGATTAACTTAAAGCTTATAAAAATAATATTTAAAGAACTTGCTTTGTAGATAATTACACAACTTATACAAAATATATAAACAGTAGAATTCTTCTGTAATGTTGTCTACATATATACGTAAGGTTAAGATATATCTTCTCTACACAATTTCTTATTCTTTAAAATACAATGATCAGATTGGGAGATTACGTTGGCAGTATTGATAGATGGCTGTAAAACAGTTTACTGTTTAATTGTAATTATGCACAAAGCTACACAATGGGCTATCTGTGCTCTGCCCACCACGGGTATCGAAACCCGGATTCTAGCGTTGCAAGTCCGCAGACATACTGCTGTGCCACTGAGGGACCTGTAAAACAGAGCAAACTTAGTAAGATACATCAACCATGCCTTCACTCTGAACTATGGCTAACTTGTAATAGCTCTGAGTAAATAAGTAAAGCCCCACAATTTCAAAAACCACGGTTATAATACATACAAGTAGGCCTAAAATGTATATTGAAAATCACGTGAACTACATGTTCTTTTTATCACATATGTTAGTCCTATTGGTTACTAATGCTTTGAGTTTTCGGCATATAAATTAAACCCTTAAACTGCTGTACTTAAGATGGTATCCTACTTCAGTGAAAATTATAATGGCGGTAAGAAATAATTAATTTAGTAAATAAGAGTATATTGTGTTGCTCTAAAACGTCTATAGTAGTCTCACTTTAACATGGAAAATCTTAGACTCTACATTATAATTATAAACTTAAGTTACAAACTTACTATTTGAAATTTATTATTTCCTGTACTATTATCTTTAAAGTGGAAAGACTCTTATAAAATTTTTTTGTTAAATAAATCATAACATAGCAGCCCTCTTTCTGTAGGTTGTTTTAACAATCTGCATCATGAGCAAGTCTAATTATAGATGAAAATATACACCTGGAAAAAAGTTAAGCACCCCCAAATATTTTTCAGGATTGCTTATTGAAAATAAGGTTTAATTTTCATGATGTTGAGCAATGTTCATAATTTCAAACATAATTAAAAGGATGTGAGCGTTCAGGTGTGACATTTCAAATCAGGCGCGTTTTTTTCCCCACGTGCAACATGCTC